GCATTTTGTGGGGGGAGATGTACCGGAGAGAGGAGAAGGGAAATCCTGATCCAGGGATAGGATGGCAGTGACAGCTCCATGGCATGGAGAGGAGCTGGCAGGGATGCACCTGCCCTTGGAATTCCCACCGGCAGCACAGTTTGCAGCCACACGTGTAGTACACGGAATCACGGCACAGCCTGAATTATTTAGGCTGAGCAGCTTGGAGGAAGCTCCTAAAGCAGCCGTGGAAGGGTGTGAGTGTAATATATAGAAGAGCTTTAATATTTACTATAGAAAAACCTCACACCTTGTTCTTCAAAATAAAGCCTTGGGAATAATGTGTTATTCCGTTTTGTCTGCAGAACAGGAAGGGTGCCAGAGCTATCTGAGCAAAGTGACATGTGATTGATATTTTACCAGACTCAGCCTTCTGCCGCCGAGGAATCCAGTTTGCATTTTGCATGTATGAAAAATCAGATGAGCAGGGCTCGTGTGGGTTTTGGTTTTGGGGTTTTTTTTAAACCTTGATTAACTTGATTGGCAAAGCTGGTGCTCCTTCTATAAACACGACTGCGAAACCTGTCCCGGAATATTTTCGACTTGTTTTTTCAAATTAGTTGTAGGGATCTTTTAGGCTGTTGTTTGTGTAGCTGTCATGCGGCAGCTTTACACAGAACCTATTTAAACTTGTAACAGGCAATTCTGTGTGAACGGGTGACGCTTAATATATCTGGTATTTTATAGAATCACAGAATCCTGGAATGGTTTGGGTGGGAAGGGACCTTAAAGACCATCTCATTCCAACCCCCTGCCATGGGAAGGGACACCTTCCACTAACCCAGGTTGCTCCAAGCCCCGTCCAACCTGGCGTTGGACACTTCCAGGGATGGGGCAGCTGCAGCTTCTCTGGGCAACTTGTGCCAGGGCCTCCCCACCCTCACAGGGAAGGATTTCTTCCCTGTATCCCATCTAATCCTGCTCTGGTCCAATGGTCAGGGCTGTGGTGATGAGTGAGAGAAACCAGCCCTTTCTGCAGCCTAATGAGCTCTGTATAAACAATTTTCTCCGGAGCGTGTGGATGATGGAGCTTTCGATGGGTCTCCGGAGAAAAATCAGGCTGGACCCAGGGAAGACAAATTGCAGGCTCCAACAATGACAGATTTTCTGAACATTTGAGATGGAAGTGGTGTTTCCACTCTTGGGACGTGCACGGTGTTTGGGTAATTCAGCCGGGGATTCCTGATGCTGCCGAGATTTATCCGGATTTCCCAGAGCTCCTGGGAGGCTTCCTCCGTGCAACACATTCCTGAGAGCACTGGGAATTAGTCTCCTGTAAAAGCAGCAGAGAGAAAGGAGCCAATCCTCCAGATACCCACAGTTGTAGGGCTGTTGTCACAGCCTAAGCTGTTCCAATGGAAGTGGATAGATGGGATTCAAGCACATGGGGCTGGGAGTCGTCGGAGCGGTGCCGTGCACGGAGAGGAGGTTGGTGCTGTCGTAACTCTTTGTGTATCACTGAAGTGCCAAATGGATTAGGAGCTTTAAAAGCTTTAATTTCTGTGCTTTTGGCACCGTCTCCTCGAAACGTGCGTCTCCGTGGTGGAGCTCTGGAGAGGAAATGGGGCTTGAAGGGGTAGTCCCAGACTAGTTCCTTTAATTTCCCTTGCAATCAAGTGCTGGAGAGGGAGAGACAGATGCTGCAGCTGCGTGATTACAGAACGTGCAGCTGTTATCACACTTGCTCCTTTTCCTGCTAATGAGGCATCAACTCTCTCCTGAGTTTGCTGTTTGGGTCGTGGTTTTATTCTAGCAGAAAATTAGAAGTGTTTTTAATTTTTCTTCATCCTGGTCTGCTTTGGGTTCAACAGCTGTCAGAGGCAGTTTTTCAGAACTGTTTGAGGTTTAGTCCAGTTTGAGGAAGGAGTTGCCAGGGGATGGTTGCCCAGAGAAGCTGTGGCTGCCCCTGGATCCCTGGAGGTGTCCAAGGCCAGGTTGGATGGGGCTTGGAGCAACCTGGGATAGTGGAAGGTGTCCCTGCCCATGGCAGGGGTTTGGAATGGGATGAACTTTAAGGTCCCTTCCAGCTCAAACCATGCTGGGATTGTATGATAAGGAGGCAGCAATTCCAACTAGCTTGAAAATTCCTGGTGGGCTTTGGATGCAGCTGCTTGGAACTTTAATTTCCCACAGAGTTACACCTCAGTGTCTTCTCAGCATTAATCCAGCTCCTCAGCCACGAGCAGTAAACGGGTGGTTCTGGCTTCAGCACATTCACTTTCAGTTCTCCACATTATCTTGTGCTTTCCTGGAAGACTTGTGGGCACAGGCAGCTTTCCTTTGCTTTGTGCAGCAATACAAAGGTGGAGAGAGGATGAAGAGCTCTGCCACTCTCCCTTCCCAGCTGGCAGGAGCACAATGCTCGCTGGAAGGAGGCTCGGCAGGGCTCTGATTTGAGGGATGATGCACTTGCCTGTCAGATGGCTGAGTTTTGAGCAGCGTTCAAAAGCTCTGTGGCTGTGTTGTGCCGGGGGGAAGAGAAGGGATTACTGCATCACAGGTGAGCTGGCAGCAGGAGCATCCCAAAGCAATCCACGCACTGCAGGTAACTGGGGAGGTGTGGAAAGACTTCTGGGAAGTGCAGCATGCTAAGGATTGTTCAGTAGGTGCTGGCAATGAATCCTAGAATCTTGGAATGGTTTGGGTGGGAAGGGACCTTAAAGTCCATCCAGTTCCACCCCCTGCCATGGGCAGGGACACCTTCCACTGTCCCAGGTTGCTCCAAGCCCCGCCCAACCTGACCTTGGACACTTCCAGGGATCCAGGGGCAGCCACAGCTTCTCTGGGCAATCTGTGCCAGGGCCTCCCCACCCTCACAGGGAAGGATTTCTTCCCAATATCCCATCTAACCCTGTCCTCTGGCAGTGGGAAGCCATTCCCCCTTGTCCTGTCACTCCAGGCCCTTGTCCAAAGCCCCTCTCCATCTTTTCTGTCAGCCCCTTCAGGCACTGTAAGGCCACAATTTATGTCACCCTGGAGCTTCTCCTCTCCAGACTGAACAATCCCGATTGTCTTAAACTGCTTCCCTGAATCTCCCCCAGGCTTTTCCTAACTTTAGAGCAGCCGTGGTGTGAACGAAGTCACATCTATAGTGCCCAGTTTTTAATGAATGTTCCAACTGATTTGGGCACTAAACCCTCAGGATGTTGTGGTGCCAGGGCAGGTCAGGCTCCTACCTGCGGAAGCCTAAGGAGAATGAGGCGGCTGATGCTGGGTTAAGAAAAGCCATGGCTATTTATTTTGGGGTTTTCACCTCTGCCAGAGGCTCAGGCTCTCATTAAGGATAACAGGAAAATAGGATCAGAGTTGCAAGGAAACCACTGGTCCATATAGCCTGGGAAGAGCTGTCCTCCCCAGGGCATGGATCTGCAGGATGCCTGGTGTGCCACTGCCAAACCCTTCTCTGCCCGAGCCAGTTTTTAAATTACAGTCCTCTTCCAAACTCCAGAGGTGGTGTGTGCTCAGTTTGGCCTCTTGTGCAAGAAGAATTCCAGTTGTGGAGGGAAATCCGTCTGACTTGATCCTCCTAATTCCCTAATTTCTGATAAGAAAAACACGCACGTGCATCAGTGTTTGCTCCCCCCTGTCGGGGCACCAGCCTTGGGAAATATCCCGTGTTTAACAGGGTGGAAGGACACGGTCACCCCAAAACACTCCAGGAAGGGCCTGACATCCAGAAAAGCACTGTGCAAACCCCAGTGGGTTTCAATCCCTGAATTTCCCTTAGTTAACACATATATAAGCAAGTCAATTAAAACACATCAAGCTTATTTCAAATAGATAATCTAATTATCAGCTTGATTAAACCATATCAAATGAACAGTTCTTGTAATTCGGGAGCTTTGTTCTAATCACTGCCAAAGCAGTAGGAGCTTTAATTAAACGCCTCAAAAGTGGCAGACTAGTGTCAATTGAGGGGAGTTCCAGCCCAAATCCTGATTCAGGGACAAGCAAACCCCTCCTAGGTGGATGCTGCTACAAAGATCAGCTCTTTGGTGCCAATAAATGGAATTTGACTGTTTCGTAAATACCATTGAAGGCAAGTAATTGTCCTTTTCTGCTATTTCTGATGCTCAGAGACAGACTTAATTAAATCTATTCCACTATCACTCATTTACACTGACATTTTTAACGTTTATGGGTTGGTATCACCCACTCATATCCTGTCTTAGCGTTGGACCTGCAGCTTCTTATGGGAACGTGTGCTCCTTTGCACCACAGAATTCTTGAATTCCTTAATTAAAGATCAGTTTTTGGTTTGCTGGATAACTCGGGAAGCTGGGGCTTCTTTTTCCTCCCGTGGATGTATCTTCGAGGCCTCCCTGCCCAACGTGATTTGGTGTTTAATGTCCCCAATTTTATAAGACTCGACGACAGGAGCAGTGTGCAGCCAGGTCCCAACCTGCACAGGGATTTGCATGGATTTAATTTATTAATGTTGGCAGGTCTCTGTTTAATAGCCCAAGTTTTCTTTTCCCCCCGAGTGGGTGGACTTTTTGTTTTTCTTTTGCCTAATTGTCTCACAAAACAACACTGGAAGAGCCTGCCTGTATCAACATGCAGGAAATCACAGGCTGGGGTTTATTTCTGCTCCATGCCCTGTACCAGCCTTCAGATTTCGGAAATTTGATGGGAATTTGTGAAGTGTTGGGAACAGCACCAGTGTAAGAGGGAGCTGGGTGAACAGCTCCCTGCTTTTCCCAGCTGCTGTGGCATTTGTCATCACCACCTTGCTTTTAATTACTATCATGTTCCGCGGCCTGATATTAAACCACATCTAATTGCATCCTTTTTCTTAATTGGCTTAACTGGCCATCACCCAAACAGGCTGTGCTGTATAGAGACAAGCTTCCCCAAATATCCCCTAATTGGCAGTGGGTGCTGTGTGCGGAGCCGGGTCCCTCTCGGCGACATTAATGGCTGTTTTCTCCTGTCCGTTCCCAGGATTGGACATTGATCCTATGACGCATGCCCGGAAGAAACAGCTTTTCCTTCTGAAACACCCAGCTGGTTGTGCTGGCCAGGCCTCGGGCGGCAGGAGGATGGACAGGGCCGGCACGGAGCGCGGGGAGCAGCGGGACGGAGACGCCTCCGAGGCTCCCAGCGGTCCCGGGGGCTTCGTGGGGACTCACAAAGGCAAGAGCCCGCGTGAGGTGCGCAAGACGTACCCGCTGCGCCGGCGCCTGCTCCCCTCGGTCAGCAAAAAGACCTGCAAGGTGCTGCTCACCCGGCTGGAGGATGTGGCCGGGTCTCTGTCCAAGCAGAGCCAGAGCTGTAAAAAAAAGCACCTTCCCAGCTGGATGGAGGGTTTGTTCTCTGAACAAGCACAACCCGTGGGAGCGGGGAAGAGCGATCCGCCCGGGGAGAAGGGCCCAGGGACTCACCCAGGGCCGGAGCAGGACCTCGATGCTGCTCCGTCGGAGCCCAGGAAGCGCCGCCTGGCCTCGCTGAACGCGGAGGCCGTGAACAACCTGCTCTTCGAACGGGACGACGGCTTGTTATCCGGCAGGCGCTTCCGCAGGGACTCCGGGAAACCCGCTGGGGACTGTGCCCTGAAGGGCTTGCAGTGCAAAGCTGGGGACAACTGGCCCGCGCTGGAGAAATCGGCTGTGAAAACCGGGAAAGGAAAGAATCGGCCCGAGCCCAGTCAGAAATGCAACAGCTGCGAGCATTCGCTGGACGAGGTCTTTGACGATGGGACAAAGAGGGAGGACGGAGCCGCCTCCTACCATCCCACCCCAAAGAGACTGGCCAGCCTCAACGCCGTGGCCTTCCTCAAGCTGACCCACGAGAAAGACCAGCCTCTGAAGCCGCGGAGTAAATCGGACGGAGAGGGCAAGTCCGAGAACCACTGCTCGAAATCCATGCTCAAATGGGCCAAAGCCGGGAGGAAGAACTGTGTCAAATCCAAGAAGGAAGCGACCAGCTTAAAAATGGACGGACAGCACGGCTGGCAAGGCCAGACCCTGGGCACCTTTGGGAAAGGGGAGCAGCGGGACTCCTCCAGGCTCTACGGGACGACAGAGCCCGTCCCCTACGAGTCACTGTCCGGCTCCTACGCAAGCACCGAGGGCTTCTACCACAGACTGCCTTTGCTCATGGGAGGACAAGCTTCCATGAAGCCAGAGTACGGAAGACCCGGAGAGAAATCCCCGACCCCCAAACAGGAGTTTCATCAGCCTTCCTTTCCCGTGCAGCAGTTCCCTCCCTTGCCCGTGCCCGGGAATCACGCGGATTGTGGATGTCTCTACGAATCCTCGGATCTGACCCCGTTGAACGGGTTTTACGTTTATTATGGCCAAAGCGGATACAGTGGCTACTCCCCCTGCTCCGTTTACCCCAAGGACGAGCTGTCGCAGGCCGCCACCTGCGAGGGGCTCCTGGTGTCTCCCGGGGCGCTGCCGTCGGGCGCGCCCCTGCAGCCCCTGCACTGGTGCAGCTCCCCGTACTGCTGCGGGCAGGGAGCGGCGCTGAGCAGCTTCAGCGTCTGCGGAGTGGTGCATGTGCCCGAGGGCCGCGTCGGCAGCGTGACCGCGGGACGGAGCAGCTTCCCCTACAAAATGCCTTTTGCAGCAGGTAAGGTGCCGAGGGCAGGCGAGTCCCGGGCGGCGTTCCCGGGAGAAAGGAGAGGGATGGCGGTTCCCCCTCCCGCGCGCGCGGTGTCTCGTTGCAGAACTCGCCTCCCACCTCCCCTTCCCTCGTGTTTAGCCCGGAGGGTTTTTCCCACCGGAAGGTCTGGTCGGTGTGGAAAGCGGAGGATCGGTGAAAAGGTTCGGGCGGCGAGAAGGTGACTCATGGCTTGTCGTGCCGGAGCTGCCGCCGAGCTTTGATCTGTGTAAAACCAGCGGGGTTCAGTTCCTGCACGCTCCGGGAGGCGCAGCCGTCCCGCCGCGCTGCTCCGAGCCGAGGGTCGGAGCACGCCGGCCAGAGTTACTGCTGCCATCCCAAAATCTCGCTCTGGGGGCTGAACATCCTCACAGAGCGTGTGAAGAAGCAGGACTTGTTAACTCTTATGGTGTTGGCTGGGGGGATGCAGGATCTTTGGATTCCGTGGATCAGAGCTGGCAGGGCTGCATAGGGAGTTTCACTCAGGGGGTCTAAGTGCTGGGCACGCTGTTAGTTTGGGAATTCTTGGTCCCATCTTTGTTCCCAGCGTGGGACAATGAAGCCCTGAAATGAGGAGGGGTGAGGGTGCCCAGTGAGTTGTTACCTGCCCGGCTCTCCTCTGTCCCCCGCCTGCTTTTCAGACTTCCTGCTTTACCTCGGAGCTTTGCCTCTGCTGCTGCTGAAAAATAGCTTTTTAAAAATTTAAGTGTGTTGTGTTGTGTGGGGGTTATCAGACACCAGCACTTTGTATAAAGCCATCAGGGTGGACAGTGCTGCGAGCAGCCAGTCTGTAGAGGAGGCTGCTTCTCCAGCTACTGGGAGTGCCAGCGCCGGATCTTCCCGCTAAAACCTCGTGTCCCAGCCAAGAGCTGGCACGACTTACCCACTGAAAACAGATTTTCAGGTAGGTGGATGGCATTTTGGTTCGAGAAAGGCTTTGTCATCCTCCCTTGTAGGAAGCTGCTGAAACTCTGGAACCTTTGGTTGAAGTGTAATTTCCGTTCTCCCGAAATATCCCCGCTCTCATGGTGCTGCTTCCTACGGCAGCAGCCAGCCAGGGTTCGCTGGTGGCTTCAGAGCTCTTGGAAGTGGAATGCTCACAAGACAAGCAGCTGAGCAGTGTGTTCTGGCCTGACAGTTTCCGTGTAGTGCCCCGAGGTCATACCAGTCTGCTTTGTTCCTCACGTGTCGCGCGCTGGTGCCTCTGATTTTGTGCAGCCAGAAGGATGCAGACGGAGTGTTTCCCAGAACTCAGCCCTCCTCGTGGACTGGTGGTTCCTCACAGTGCTGGCAGGGGCAGCAGCAGTGGATACTTACTAGTGTGTCACTCCACTGCTGTAATTTCCTTCCTGTGAGCAGCTTGGATTTAAAATCCTACAACACCAGAATCATTTAGGTTTTGGTTTGTGGATTGGAGCCTATAAGGAGGTCTCTGAAAATATTAACAGGGACTTATGCCCAGGGGTTGATTTTTATATGATTGTGCACCTCTGAAGTATTTTCCTTCCCTAGAGTGGGGTATTTTAGTGAACTAAAGGAGCACTTTGGCTGCAGGAGCAGGCTCCCATCGGAGATGGGATGAGGGATGAGGGATCCAGCTTGACGTGCCGTGTGTTACATCTGTCTGACTTGGTGTGTTCCAGGTGTTCATGTGGGAATATCAGTGTCTGTGTGGTCCAGATTGAGGCTGTGACGTAGGGCAGTATGGGAGCAGGGTGGTGGGGATGAGGCAGGACAGGCTGTGAGAGCTGCTTTAGGCTCAGTGCCATCGGAGAGGCTGGAAGGGGTGCCGGCGAGAGCAGCTCTGCACCACTGACTGCCCTGACCTTCAGTACGTATTCTTGTGAAGCTTCATCCTGCTTTAGCTCGAGCTTAAAAACTGCTTTTTTAAGCAGAATACCTGAGAGGTGATTCCCTGCTCTGTGGTCCTGTGCCTGCCAGTGCCCACATCCTGGTGTCCATGCTCTCCAGCGAGTTCCTGTGGCGTTTGCTGCTCAGGGTTGGTGACAGTGGCAATGGTCCATGGCATCCCTCACACAGCTCCATTGCAGCCCCTCAGGGAGGGTGAGTGGGGAGACAGGAGACAACAACTTCCCGTCTCTCCGAGGGCTCTCAGCAGTTTTTCAGCTTGACTTGGGATGGATTTTCCCCTTCCCGTTTGTAAGCAGCTCCGCAGGGACATGCTCCAGTCTGAGGCAAATCCTGGAGCCTGCCCGGAGCTGCCCTTTGGTCACCCCAAAAAGCACACTCAGGGTTAGGGAACAGGGAGGCGTCACACATGGGTCCAGGAGGCTTTTTCCTGCTGACAGGAGATAATTCCAATCTAACTGGCTCTTCCATCGGCTTGGGTTGAGGCTTGTTTGTGACTCCTGAGCGGAGCGAGGCGCTCTGGGATGCTCCGAGAGGCAGCGTCAGCCAAATTCCAACCTGTTGTGGTTCCTGTGTCTGCTGCAGGGACACGGTTTTGCTGAGGGTGCAGCATCTTGCAGTTCTGTTCCACCTTGTTTTCTCTTTCTGGACTTAATTTGGAGAACCGTCTCAATTTTCCCTGATTAGTAGAATTTGGCCTTTTGGAAGGAGCTGGCTGCTGCTGCTACTGCGACTTAATCCTTCCCATCGTTCCCATAAACCTTTTATTTCTTTTACACATATTGACAAGCTGGAGCTGCTTTGGGCACTGGCCAGCCTTGTGTGTATTCCTGGCTGGCGTTCCTTGGGATTCAGCTGGGTTTATTGTGGTGCAGTGTCATCGGCAGAGCACTGGAGCACGCAGGCTCGGGAATGGCTTTGCTGTTAGGATCCAGTGACAGTGCAAAATGGAATTACAGCGTGGAGAGTCTTTACTGCTGTAATGCAATACGGGGAATTTCGGGGGAACGCAGCTGTGGTTCGGGGCGGTCTTGGTTGTGTAGTTGCTTTATGTTTCAGATGAGATCTGTGTCTCTTTTCTTCCCTCCCGTCAGAAGGCTGCAAGTCTCTGGACCAGCTGAACCTCACAATCCCGGTGGCAGGACACCCCGCCTCTCCTGCCCACCCGCTCTCAGGATGTCCCGTTCCCAGCGTGCCACCGGCTGCAGAGCCCGTCCCTCACCTGCAGACCCCCAACTCTGACCCTCAGACCATGGCCCGAGAATGTCCACAGAGCTCCAAGCCTCCCAGCGGCTCCAAGTCCGGGCTGCGGAACACGCCGGGCTGCCTGCACGCCTCCAACAGCAAAGCGGCGGGAGCGCATTCCCACCCCAAGCAGCAGCGGATCAGCCGGCGCAGGGCGACCAACGGCTGGATCCCCGTGGGCACGGCCTGTGAGAAGGCCGTCTACGTTGTGGTAGGTGTGGAGTGCTGGGCCTGGGGGGGCTTGTGCACCCTCAGAGATTGAGGGCACAAAGGCTGGAGGGGTCTGGGTCTGGGTTTGGGCTGGAGATGGTCACTGGGTGCCAGCCGGAACCTCTCGGAGGAATTCCAAGTGGGAGCAGAGCTGCTGCTGGGTTTGTTCTCTTGAGTGCTCCGGTGCTGCGTTGCACAGCGTGGCAGGGGTTTGGAAAGGGAGGAGAACCTGCTGCTCCTGTGCTGGGCTCAGCTGGAACGCCGAGCTGCCGGATCCTCCCGGCTCTGGCATGTGCGAGGGTGGCACCTGTGGCACGGGGGAGTCCCTCCTACAGGGATCGTCCTCCTTCCTCCTGGGTAGGGCAAACCTGTCTGAGAAGGTAAGGGATGTTTTACCCTCATTATCAGGGGCAGGCATCAAGGCAGGTGGTTCTCACTGATTGGCCTGTAGCCCCACAGGAATATCCCTGAGCACAGAGGACTGAGGTAGTATCCTGGCTCCCAGATGGAATTTTTCCAGCACCCCAAACTCCCCTTTCTTGTAACATACATGGTGGCACAGCCTGTCACTCCTCCGGGGATTACTTGTCTGTACTTTCCCATTTGTTGTGTTGAGGGGCAGAGGCTGGCTCCTGTAAGATGGGAGATTTCCTGCCAGGGAATTCAATTAACTCCAGTAAAGTCCACTTCAGTTGAGGGAGAAGGCAATATCCTTCATCTTATTAAAACATAAGAGCTTGAAATGCGGCCCCACGTGGTGTCTGGGAAGGTGGGACGAGGTTGGATGTGCAGTAAATGCCAGCAGGAGGGAGAGGAGGGGAGAGCTGCGGGCCAGGCGGGGTCTGTGCTGCTGCTTTGTGGTGGCCCAGCCTCGGGCTGCTGAGAGCATCAGCCAGGGCAGGTGTTGGAGCTGCAGCTCTTGAGGCTGATCACAGGTGCCAGGATGAAGCTGTGAAGGGCAGGGACTGGCCTTGTGCCTCCATCCCTCAGGCTGTGACACCCCAAAGGAGCAGCGTGGCCTTAATCTCCTTAAAATGCTGCCAGTCCTGCCGGGGAGATGTGGCAGGAGGTCAAACCATCCTGCTCAGGTGTTATGAAATGAAATTCAGAGCAAAAACAAACTGAAAGCCCCCAGTTTACAGTCCCAAAAGTGATTGCTTTGTACTGTCAGGGGGTACAATGGAATATTTAGTAATCCCACTAAGGAAAGCTCTGTGCCACGGCCTCCCTGCCAATCCCTGCCCTGTTCGTGTCAAATATTTCATGTTTTATTGGTTTATTTGTGTCAGGCAAACACACAGCATTCAAAACACACCTAGTTGTCCATGCCTTCCAGACAGGCAGGTGAAAAGGTGATTTTCCTGAAGATGGTGTTTTTTTATGCAGAATGGAAGGAGCAAATGTGTTTTAATTTGAAATAAGAGTGTTCCTTTCAGTGAGAATGGCTGTCCTGCTGATGATGTCCTGCTCCTCCAGGAGCACGACGTTGGAGGAATAGCTGGGGTTTGGTTTGTTTGGAAGCAATGGCTGTGTGTGGCCTGCAGCACTTGGATGCTGGTCCTCGGTGACCTCCCTTTACCTGTGAGTGTCCAACCCATTGAAAAAGTAACTCCTTTGGCCTGATCTTTGGTGTTATGAACCAATCTGGTGGGAACAGAGACGCCACAAGCGGCATCTTACGCTGCATGACTTCTCCTGGAGATCTGTTGGAGCGGGAGCGCTGAGCCCTGCAGAGGCTTAGGTTGGAATTCACAGGAGGAAAAAAGAAGTCTTGGGCTGGGGGAGCAAACCCCAGGTTGTGGTTTGTGTGTTGCAGAACGAGCCCGAGCCAGCCATGCGCAAGAGCTACCAGGCCGTGGAGAGGGACGGGGAGATCATCCGGGTGCGCGACACTGTGCTCCTCAAATCCGGGCCCCGCAAGAAATCCATGCCCTACGTCGCCAAGATATCGGCGCTGTGGGAAGACCCCAAGACAGGTAGTGTGCCAGGAGAGAGTCTGTGTTGCCTCTGTGCTCAGCAGAGCGGGCTGGAAGCAGGGAAGGGATGGATCTGGGGAGAGCTGCCAGGCTTGGGAGGGTACCAGGGGATGGAGAGGAGATGAGCTCTGTGGATTCTGTTTGGATTGTTCCAGGAACTGAAATGCTCCTTAATCACTAATCTGGGACTGATAATGGAAATCTTGCTGGATGTGAAAGCACATAATATCTGCCAAGTGCCCATCTTAGCAGCCATCTCCCTTATTATTCCATTGCAGCAAACTTTGGGGAGCTGCTGTTTGCTCCAATCCAACATCTGGGCTGGGAGCTGATGGGAGCAGGGGCTGTTCCACAGCAGCTCCTGGTGGACCCCCGTAGAGGTGGTGATGGGAGCAGTGGGGGTTTATGCTGAGGACTGGCAATACCTGAGCCAAGGAGAATGAGCTAAATGTTGTAAACTGCAAGTCTTCCTTAAAAAGGAAATAAAAAAAAATCCCAAGAAATTCCACGTAAAAGACATAAATCCAGGTGTGGTGAGGCCCATCCTGGTCATGTCATCACAGCAGCAGTTCTGGCCTGAACCTGGGATTCAACGCTGCGAGTTCCCACCTTTGGATGAGCATCTTTTCCAGCTTGTGTGCTGAATGGATTCTTTTTCCGGGTGGAAACATTTGATTGTTTTGGTTTGTTGGGTTTTTTTTAATCCCTTGGGATTTTTTTGGGCCCAACTGACCCCTTTGGGATGTTGTGACCCAAGGAGGAGGAGGTGAAGGTGTAGTGGGAAAGCCACGTGACCGACCCCAGGCTGTAACAAAAGGACATCTCGTTCAGCATGAAATATTTATCACTCACAGCTGCCTCTCCCTGGGCACTGTGGGAATGGAGGGAGCTGGGAATTGGTGGGAAAACACTCCCAGAAAACTGCAGGTTGACGTGTTTGGATTGGTGTTGTTGCAGGGGAGCTGATGATGAGCCTCCTGTGGTATTACAGACCAGAGCACACTCAGGGAGGCCGCAACCCCAGCATGCACCAGGTGAGTCCGGATCCGGGCCGGGGGCATCCCAGCATGGTTGTGTTCCTGTGGGAATAAGGGATCACCCCAAGCATCTCCCTGCATTCTTGGGTGGCCTCAAACTGAGTACAAACAGAGCTCTCTTGGCTGTGGTGCAGCTGTTGCCAGATGTGTCCAGTGATGGTGTCCTATAGATGGGCTTTTCCCCCAAATTTAGTGTCCTGTGGAGAAACTCTGGGCTCTAACAGAAGCTGTTGTGTTCCTTACAGTGTTTCTCTCTTTAATCTGAGAAAATTCCGTGTATTAACTGAAAAGTCACTTTGGCTGTTACCTTAGGAGTAAGGAAAAGTGAGTTTCTACTGAATCAAGATCAGATGCTGTTCCAAAAGGCTGTTCTAATTCCCACAGAGCTCAATGCTCCTGCTGCCATTTTGCAGGACACTGGAGTGCCTGTACATGTGCTGCCTTTTAATAAATCACTTAATCCGCTTCTGAAAAGCGAGTTAGTTTTGTGCAGGAACGTGGGTGCATCATCCTTGTCCTGTAGAGGTTTATGAGGAGAACTAAAGTCTGGCTCAAGGATGCTGTGGCAGGATAATGGGGTTGCTTTTCAAAGGAAAAACATGTGAATCACTGTGACTTCAAGCCTTGCTCTGCTTTGCATGGGCTTGTGTTGGGTGACAGAACAAGCTGGTTTTACCTGGGAATGGAGAATTTACTGCTGTTTTCAACACAATTTTAAATACTTGGTGCTTTTCTCGTTTTTATTCCTTTTTTAGATAGAGAGGGAGGGAGGGGGTGAGAGCAGGACTGGGGAGCAGCCAGGGAATTGCACCTGCCTGGTTTGCAGGGCACAGGTGAGTTTCTAAACCAAAATGTGGTACTTTATAAACAAAAGGTGAGTGTATCCAGTTGCACTTTAGTCCAGGGAGAATGCCAGGAGCAATTAAGCCAGGTTTTTGCAAACCTGCTTAATTACACAGGCCTTCAAATGAGAGCGAGCTTGAGCTGAGGGCTGGGCTGGGCTTGCCAGAGGTGGCTCAGGGAGTTTTAATTTAAGGAGCAAACCAGAACCCCAAGGTGCAGAAAGAAGGTGTGTCCCTGATCAACCCTGTCCCCAAATGGTCACCCTTTCGTGAGTCTTCCCTTCCAGCCTCCTTCCTCGGGGCTGGGAGCAGAAACGGAGCCTGCAGGGAACCCTTATTCCCAGAGATCATCATCTCTGCTGATCTAACCGCACCTGGAATTCTTTCCAGTGGCTCCATCCAAGTTGCCCCATATTTAACTAATCCTGCCTGCTGCAGAGCCAAGTTCCCTAAATTAGTCTGGGAAAAAATGAAGGGGAGTTTGCCCAGAGAAGCTGTGGCTGCCTCATCCCTGGGAGTGTCCAAGGCCAGGTTGGACAGGGCTTGAAGCAACCTGGGATAGTGGAAGGTGTCCCTGCCCATGGCAGGGGGTGGGACTGGATGGGCTTTGAGGCCTCTTCCAACCCAAACCATTCCAGGATTCTATTCCGTGATTCCAGAAAAGACTGTTGCTGCTTCTCTCACTAAACCAGCCTTTTTAATTGAACTGGGATGAGGAAGGGATTCCTTTAGCTTTGATACAGAAATGGATTAGAAAATCCAGGAGGAAAGGGGAGGCTGAGGGGTGCAGCTGGCTGTGGCCTTGCTGCTGGAGAGCTTTGTGACTTTGGAAATGTGTGGGATTTGGGCACTAGGCAGTGTGCTGGGCAGGGATAAATGCTGGGAGACTCTGCTTTGCTCTCATGTGGCTGGATAAAATTCTGGTGCACAGGAACATGTGGAAGGTGTCCAGGTTGTGTGGAATATTAGCCCTAAATTTAGTGTTCGCTGTGGGCATGCTTTGACTCCCCAGTGAGGTGCTGGGGGAATGTGTGGGGCCGGTCCTGGCCAGTGGGGTGACCTCTTCCTTCCTTCCCTCCCTCCTGCAGAACGAGATCTTTGCGTCCCGGCACCAGGATGAGAACAGCGTCGCCTGCATCGAGGAGAAGTGCTACGTGCTGACCTTCGCAGAGTACTGCAGGTAGGTGGAGCTCTGGACCTGCTGCTCTTCCAAAACCTCCCCTGCCTCCAGCTCCTCTCGCTCTCCCAGTTTCCAGCCATCCCGACTGTCCGTCCCAGCCATCCCGACTGTCTGTCCCAGCCCTGCAGGCTGTGGTGGGGCAGAGCTGGGGGAGTGACACTGGCTCTGCTGCAGGCTGAGGGCTTCTCCCACTGCGGATTCTTTGGGTGTGGGTTGTGTAGAATCATGGAATCGTTTGGGTTGGAAAAGCCCTTGGAGGCGGTCAAGTCCAACTGTTCCTCCACATGGCTTTTAAATCCCTCCAGGGATGGGAACTCCACCACTGCCCTGGGCAGCTGTGCCAGGGCTGGACAGCCTTTTCCATGAAGGAATTTTCCCAGTATCCAACCTAAACCTCCCCTGGCATAGCTTGAGGCCATTTCCTCTCATCCTGTCCCTTGTTCCCTGGGAGCAGAACCCAACCCCCCCAAGCTCCACCCTCCTGTCAGGGAGTTGCAGAGCCAGAAGGTTCCCCCTGAGCCTCCTTTTCTCCAGGCTGAGCCCCCCCCCCCAGCTCCCTCAGCCACTCCTGGTGCTCCAGCCCCTTCCCCAGCCTCTCATGCTCCTGTTGAGGGGCTCCCAAGCGTTGGTGTTTGTATGTGAGCAGTAAAAACAGGGGGGTTACTTGTCGTCATCTTTGGTGCTGTACAACATGTGCCAGGATGGAAATATAAACTTGTGCTGCTTCCTGCAGCTCAGGGGGGATGGAAAGCAGGAGTTCTCCTTGAACACTCCATCCCTTCCCCCTTATCCTTGGGAGCCATGGTTGTGGCTTCCAGTAGGTCACAGACAGCAGGAGCGGGACTGAGTTCATGGTCCTCAGCACAGGAAGGATGTGGACCTGTAGGAGCGAGTCCAGGGGAGGCCACCAAGGTGATCAGAGGATGGAGCAGCTCTGCTGTGAGGAAAGGCTGAGGGAGTTGGGGTTGTTCAGCCTGGAGAAGAGAAGGCTCCATGGTGACTTAATTGCCCCTTCAGTACCTGAAGGAGCCAACAGGAAAAATGGAGAGAGACTATTTACAAGGGCCTGGAATGACAGGACAAGGGGGACTGGCTTCACACTTACAGAGAGAAGGGTTAGATTGGATATTAGGAAAAAATTCTTCCCGGTGAGGGTGGGGAGGCCCTGGCACAGGTTGCCCAGAGAAGCTGTGGCTGCCCCATCCCTGGAAGTGTCCAAGGCCAGGTTGGACAGGGCTTGGAGCAACCTGGGCTAGTGAAAGGTGTCCCTGCCCAAGGCAGGGGGCGATACTGGCTGAGCTTTAAGGTCTCTTCCAACCCAGACCATTCCAGGATTCTGTGATAACTCCTGTGTTCCTATTGCCCTGCAGATTTTGTGCCTTGGCAAAGCGTCGAGTCGAAGGGATCCCAGGCAGGAAAACCATCATGGTTCCTCCCTCGGAGGAATATTCCACCCCTCTGCACCGCAAGGTGCCCGAGGACACGGACCCCGAGCTGGTTTTCCTCTGTCGTCACGTCTACGACTTCAGGCACGGGCGCATCCTGAAGAACCCCCAGTAGGAGCCTCCTTCCGCCGGAGCGCGGCGGGAATGAGCCGATGGTCCGGGACACCTGGGCACTCCCGACTCACCTTGTGCTGCTGCAGGTGGGAGCGCCCAGCGCTCCGTCCTGGGACTCGGGAGCGCGCGAGAGGAGCGGAGCCCGCGGAGGGGAGGCAGCGGTTGAAAGCACAGCACTTCGTTTAAAAAGCATAAATGAAAATATATACGTATAAAATAAATATATGTATATAGATATAGGGATTTGCATACGTAAATCTATATCTATATATGTATCTAGAGATGCATCTATTGGTAAGGTTTGCAGGGGATAAAAGGCAGGAAGCGATGCAGAGCCACGGTTGGGAGAGGCGGGAAGGTGCAGGAGGGATGTGGCGGGGCAGCGTTGAGTCCGGCTGGGACAGGTCGGGGGGTTTCGGTGGGAACTTGGCAGAGCACAGGAGAGTCTCCATTGTCCCACAGGACAGACTCTGAGGATTCCCAGTGGGTGAGAGCTTCTTCAAAATACAGCTTTGGGAGCTGCCTGGATGCAGAGTGGCCTTGTGTCGTGCTTGGATAGGTGTTGCTCCATCAGGGGAAGAGGTGGCCCCTGTTCTCCCTTGTCTTTCTCCTCCCCTCACCTCGCTGCTCCAGGATTCACCACCCGGACTGGGGCTTGGAGCAGAGGGAGCTGCCAGGGTCGCAGGTGTCACACCCCAGTGCAGGGTTAGAGCTGGGCCTGTCCTAGGTGTCCTGACTGTGCCCAGAGGGTCTCGTACCCTATTCCCAAAGCCCAGTGCCCACCGGTGCGCGTCGCTCAGAAGGTTGGAGCTCACAAAGTGGGCTCTGCCAGTGAGAACCACGTTTCCTCTTCTCTTCCGAGTGTTGCTCTTCCTCTGATGGCTCAGGGGGCCGTGGGTTTTCCCTTCCTTCCCAGTTTGTTTCCTGTAATGTCATTTACAGTCCCTGCTTATCCCTGTGTGTGTGCAGTGGGAAGCAGCCAGAGGGGGAAGTGGCAAACCCTTTTTTTGTGTTTTTGGCTTGTTTAACTTCCCCTCCCTCCCCACGTGACTGTCCTGATCCTGGGCCTGCTGTTGAAGCCATTGGCAGCCTCCCTTCTCCAAACTCATCCTGGTGTTCGAGCTGGCTCACCAAAGTGGCTCTGTGGCTCCCGAAAGGACCTGAGCATCGGGAAAGGTTCGCATGGACCATGCGGCCCAAGCCCCGCAGGTCCTGCCTCTTGCCTTACCTGTACAGATCCCAGATGGCACTTAGATCCCAGACAGCCCTTTAGCTTGTCTCAACGCAAACTTGGAGTTAATCCCAAAGCAAACCAAAGGACAGCGTCAAATCCCGGGGAGTCCCTGCCCCAAGCTGGGAGCCCAGCCCGAGATTGCACTACTGGACAGAAGGAGAACCAAGCCTGTGTCACCCAATTCCTGCTGGCGGAGCAGCCCACTGAAATGAGGGATCTGTGTTTTCCCAGTCTTCTGGGGCTTTTGAAATGGTGTTCCATGGTGGAAGCGTCCATTCTGCTTTAGTGTTGTCCTGTCAGTGGAAGCAGCATTCCCTGTATTCCCTTGGGATGCCAGGCTGGTCTCCTGTCTTGCTCCGACAGCCACCCGCCTGCCCGGCCTGAAGAGAGAACCCCACAGCATCCAATCCCTTACATGGAATAGTCTGGGAATGCAGGAGTTCTCCAGAGATTTGCTCTACATACCAAAGAGGGGACTGTGTCCAGAGATGATGGTTTGAGGGGATGACAAGCCTGGAACCCACCGCGGTGGGCAGGCATCTCCCTGCTGCCGGTGGGCGATTCCCGCTGGAAAATTCCTGTTTATTCCCTCCTGCGCAGCCCAGGAAGAACACCTGGCTGTGGCAGGTGGGATCCCAGGTGTGCAAGCAAAAATTGGCAGGTGAAGCATCTTCTCTCATACCTCAAGATACTGTTGGTGTCAAAGGGATCACCCGGATCTCTCCTTAACAATTCTCTTGGCACTGGGGGTCTCTTGGAATGACTGGGGGGGCTGTGCTGGGGTGGGAGGTGGCAGCACTTTGAGGACAGTCGGATGAAGGGGTGTAAGGAGGCGTTGGAGGACGTGGTCTCTGCTGTTTCTGGTGGAGGATATGGAATGGTTTTCCCCCGTAGCTGGGAGGGAGTAGGCTGGAGAAGCGGAGCTGCTCCTGCCTGTGGCATGGAGGGAATGGGCAGAGCAGTTAGGGCAGACCGGAGCAGCTGCACCCCGGGGTGGGCGGGAGGTGATGGGAAATCCTAAATCCACAGTCTGGCTCCATGGGGACTCCTGTGCCCCCCAGCCTGAAGCAGGTGAGCTGCCATGGCTATTTCCCTCTGGCGGCGCCATTGGACATGGAATGCTGCGAGACCCACCCGCTGGGAGAACCTGAGCACTGCTGCAGTCAGGGCCTTGGAACCTCTGAAATTCCTCCTTCTGCCCCCTCTCTCCCTGCTCCCACCTTGCCCTGGCTCCTCTCCAGGTAGCAGAGAAATTATCCTTGCCCTGGGTCCAGAACGGGCTCCGACCTGGCTCTGGAAAGGACAAACCTGACTCTTCTCATGCTGAATCTGCTTCAGGCCATGGACATTGAGGTTCACGTGGTTGCTGATGCTGTTGTGCAAACAGCATGTAAATGAATTGAAATGTCTTATCCCTAATGAAAAGATTTCCTGCTTTTTTAATCTATTAGATATGGAAATATTTTTTGAAACTGAAAAAAAAATGCAGTCGGTAGAATTTAAATCGAAGCGTTAATACATGTAAAATATATTTTAGTTGATAATTTTGTAAAATGCACTTTTTTGTGTCTCTTCCCTGGTTTCCCAGATCTGTATTTCAGTGTTTACAGATGGAATGAGAACATTCCCTATTCCCTCCTTCTGTGAAAAAGATATATTAGAAGTAATTCTTAAAAAATAAATTTGAAAAATCGTATTGATTTAGAAAACAAACCAGTGCTGGGCTGTTATTCCCCTCCCTGCCTGAACTTCTTCCCCCTTGGATCCAGTAGTTGCAGGAATTAGGAGTGCTTGGGAGCAGATTTGGGTGCTCCAGGCCTTGGGGTGAACAATCTGTTGGGTTTTCCAAGGAAATAGAACAAGTGGCAGCAGGATGGGCAGGGACTGCTGTTGACAGCTGCTGTCAGTGGAATATTTGAGTTTTCTCAGGCAGGGAAGGTGGTGGTGGCGACGCTTGTTTCAACTAGGCTTTAGGAACCCTGTGGGAAGCATTTGGGAATGTTGCTTTGGAAAAGCATCTTGCTTGGAGCGCTGTCTCCATCAGCGCTTGCCATTGGAGTGTCCCAGCCCCGGGCACCAAATGCCACAGGCACCCCAAGGACGAGCATTCTGCACAGACATCCCAAACAGCCAGGAGGATTCCAAGTGGGAAGAGAGCAGAGAGAAGTCACCCCGCTCGAAAAGGCACAGCGAGGAGCGGGATAACAGGGTCGGAATTGCCTGATGGGAATGTCTGCAGCTACAGCCAGGTGAGAGCTGTCTGGGGGTGCTCACGGCCAGAGCACCTCCTGTGGCCCTGGATGGTGAATACCCAGGGAATTCATCCCAAAACCGTGGAGACCTTGGTCGGGGCTCGGAGCCCTTCCTGTGACCAGGCTGTGCTGGGTGTCCCTATGTGTCTAAGCGGTGGGTACGTGACCCTTGGAATCAGCTATTCCTATGAATAATGCTGATGGATGCCTGGGGAGGGAGGGGATGAGTTCTGGGAACAAAATGAACAGAAGGAAAGAGTAATGTCTGGCATGGAATTAGCTCCTAATTACAGAGAAGTGAGTGAGGGGCACATCCGGCTGGTGGGGTGGGGATGGGAACTGCATCCATAACGTGCCTCAGATCCTGGCTGCATCCGGGATTTGCAGCATCTTTTGTTCCCAGGTCACCTAGAGCAGGAGATCCTGAGGTGGTCCCGTGGGGTGAGCTGGGGCCACTCCGTAGCTGCCTTGATCCCTGTCCCATTGCAGCGCTGCCGGCATCACACCAGTTCTTAAATTCCCGGTTGGATTTCTTCACGGGATTAGGGATTTTGCTAGATCCCTGTCTTTTCCTTCCTGCACCCAGTTATGTCACAGCACAGCTCCTTGCAGGGAACTGCCAGCAGAGGTACAAACCTGGAAAGCCAGATAAAACCAAGAGAATTCCTGAAAAAGGAAACCACCGCAGTGATGAAGCGAATTAAACTGGCAATTATCCTCCCAAGAAGAGGAAGGAGCTTTTCTGGGGACATTTATATTTATGAGCCAGTGTGGGGTCACTGAGCACAATATTCCCAAACCCGTGGCCTGAGATTTCTGCTGAAGAACCAATTTGAGATTTTCCAGTTGGATTTAATGTGACTCAGCAGCCTTGAGGTGTCAGTGAGGTGGGTGCCAGGAATGGAGTGGAAACCTGTGCCCTGTGCCTGCGCCACGGCCGGATCTGGCACTTATCCAGGTGTGGATGTTCCCTTGGAGGGGTCTGTTGGAAAGAAAACCGAGAAAAAGCTTTTCCTTCCCAGCTCTTCCCGCGTGGTGAGCCATCACCGAATGGATAATCTGTGGCGGGCTGAAAAGTTGGGATTAATGTCAAACAAAATTGGATTTACTGTTGAAATCTGCCACCCGAGGGAGCTGCGCGGAGCCATATCCGGCTCTCCTGGATCCTACGTTCAGCAAACTGCTCCTGTATCCTGACTGATGCTGCCAGGAGTGTCCTGCTGCCACCTCGGCACGGTCCCGCTGGCCACAGGTTGTCCTTGGAGCAACGTGGAGCGTTGGGAAGGCGTGGGCTCACCCGGCTGGGAAGCGGGAGGTGTGTGGCCACCGGAATCCCACCCGGCTTTGGCCAGCTGGGGATCCGCGGTGGCTCTGTGGCTGGTTTCCATCACCAGCGGTGGTTCAGGTTCCTGGCAGAGCTGACCTGCTGTGTCACATCTCCCTCATTTCCACGTGCAGTGTCTGGAGGTGACAGAGCATCACCAGCCTTGAGGGAATTGCAGGGAGAAGGAGACGCTTGGGGCACTGGGAAGGAGCGGTCGGGGCTGTGGGCACCTCTGGAGGCTTCAGATAAGGTTTGGGCACTGGGATGAGCACACTGGGGGGTAGGAGATATTCCAAGGTCCAGGGGCTTCCCCACCTCACTCCCCACATCTCCCAGCCAAAGCAGATCCAGAGCAGCATCCAGGACTGGCTGGAGTGTCTTCCCCCTCCGGAGCGAAAGCCACGAGCTCCTGGTTGTGTTTAAGTGCTGCTTTAATGCCACTAATTATAATTGAGTGTAATTGTGCCAGAATCCATCGGAGCCAAGGGACGGGAGCAGCTTGGAGCATCCCATTAAGGTGACAGAGCACTCCAGCGCTCGCCTGGCTCCCTCCCTGCTGATGAATGAGCCCTGCCGAGCTCTGCGAGGACTTTGTGCCATCACCAGGGGCGGGACCAGCCCTGGCACAGTCAGTGTCACACAGGGAGAAGGGATTTCACATCCTCATATTAACCCGGTGGCTCCAGGGACCCGAGCGTGGGCAATTCCCGGTTTTACTGTGCCCTTCTCACCCCATCCATATGGGATAAACGCTTGGCTCGCCGAGCCGGGGGTTTAGGGGGAGATAAGGGATAAATGCTTGCTAATCTCTGCATGCCAGTGTTGGCTCTGCTGCTCCAAACACTGCACTGGCAGCACAGCGAGCCCCTGATGCCACTGGCACGGGATCCATCCATGGGAAACCAGCCGCGGCCTCACGGAGCCACTCTTGGAATCGCTCCCTCACTGCCTGTGTCACTCAAAGCTAAATAAAAATGAGGTTGAGCTTTTCACGTTCCACCCCAGCTGCTGCTCCTGCCCTGACTGTGTATCCCTGTGGCTGCATTCCTGTGACCTTGGGATCCAGGAGCAGCAGGACCCACAGCTCACCTGCGTGGCACTGTTTTTCCAGAAATATCCAGCTGGACATTCCTGGAGGCTGTTTCCTGTGCTAAAAACCCTCAGCAGAAAGGTAATTCCCATTCAGGAAGGGAGCTGGTGCTGGGGGACTGCATGGTGGGGACTGGCTGAGATTGCAGTGCTCCAGCCTCCTGCAAACCCCCAAAATCCAGCTAAAGCAGCCCTTCGTACATGAGTTTTCCTTGAGTTCCAAATGCCAGCCTGGAGCATGGATTGAGAGCTCTGCAGGACCCCTGCAGAGCTTGGGGGACAGCCACCACCGAGGGCAGGTGCCACTGGAGCAGCACTGGGCAGTGTGAGAGACTGAGGACAAAGGAAGGAATAGAGGAAAACAACGAGCACAAAATCAGGGGAACGGAGGAGGAATCAGGTGAGCACTGGGTTGCACTGGGAAAGGTATCCAGATGTTATCCATGTGTTCTGTATGGGATGGGACCCACCGGCGTGGTGCGAAGTCACAGCACTCAGTGCTGGCCTCGGGGTTGTAATTAGTAATGGGAGATGGTGATTATTAATTAGAGATGGTGATTAATAACAGGAGGTGCCATAATGGGGATACCTGAACCGGGATGAAGCCCACGGCCTGGCGTGGAGCGAGGGGCTGTCGGAGCGCAGCGTTGCCATAGGGATCCAGTGGCTTCTCCGTCAGAGCCTCCAGCGAGAGCAGTTAATCCATTTTTAAGAGGAAAGGATATTTAATAAAGGGAACCATTTAAACTGGATTTACAAGACACGCTGAATGGAGGCACCATTTATTCCGTGGCTTCGTATTTAATTTTAATATCTCTATAAACCTCTCCGGAGCGTTCCACAAAAACAAGCCAGAGCCCGAGCGGTTCGACCGCCCAGTGATTCTTAAAAGAAAATCAATTTAACAAGGCTGGAAAAAACCTGCATCTCCATGAATATCTTTCCGCTCTCGGAGCGGCAGGAGCACCGGAATATCCGTATTAGAAAACAACAAACAGGCTGTTCTGATGGAGAGGGGCTTTTGGAAGGATATGGAGCAAAAGCTCGGCGAAGTGGGGCTGGGAGTGTCCAGCTCTCCCACGGAGCCAGGCTGTTCGGAGTTTTCTTTGTTACTCTGCTTTCTCTGCACTCATAAATAATGTAATTAATATAATAACTTCATCAATAATCCAGCTTTTTCCCGAGCTGTGCTCACTGCTTTTCCCAGGCTGCTGCCAGAGCAGGGATGCAGCAACTATAGGAAGCCCACAGGAAAGCCAGGATGGGGACGATGGCACCTGGCAGCATTTAGCACTCCATAAATGAGAAAATCCCAGGAACTCAGCCAGATTTCCCACAAGGAAGCAGTTTGTGACTGTTCCCAGAGCGTTTCTGCTTCCCGCACTGGGAATGTCGTGGTTTCGGAAGCATCAAGTGCTCTGGGAAGAGCCGGTGAGAAAACTCCCCTCCTTCCTGTGCAGCAGGTAAACTCCTCTGCTCCTCAGCGCCTGGCTCAGGGCACAGAGCAAATTCCCTGGAATTCCCTTGTCCCTGGAACATCCCATTCTTATTTCCCTTGTAATACATTGGGATTGAGCTGCACAAAGCCGGCTCCGGTTTCTCCTGCATCTTTTGGGTGGTCCCTGAACCTGGATTTAAGGAGCAGACGAGATGCGTTTGGCCATCCCATCCTGCTCAGCCCAAGCTGTGGTTTGTGGTCTACAGATGTTTCCTCACCTCTGCTTAATCCCTTTTTCCCTCTTTTTTTTCTTACACACAAATGACCCTCCCAGCAGGGAACAGCATCCTCTGCTGTCCATGGGCCAAGGAGATGGATTTCTCAAGGAGAGGACTCTGGATTGCTCAGGATGAAGCTGATTTAGCAATTAGATGTTATTCCCTGTCCCAGGCTGGGGGATGTTTCTCCCTATCCCAGCCAAAGATCCGTGAGTGGGGTTGGATTTGTACCACATCGGATAATTAGTCTATAAAAAGGGAATTATACGGCACGTTAACGAGCACGGTTGGGTTTTGTTCTCACCTCCCTGCGAGATGAAAGCTGGGACACC